CCCCTCGGCTATCCCCCAATGACCGATTCGTTTCTCTTTACCAAATCCTAAATGACCGATTCGCTTCCAAACAACATGCCTTCACAGACATAAGATGACGACAACGAGGTAGTTTGCGACGAGGAAGACGACGAGGGGAGGAAGACATCAACGATGAGGAAGACAACGACATTGAGGAAGACGGAAGCGAGGAAGAAGACGGTGACAGTGACGCTGAGGAAGATGGGGGTTGAGGAACACGGGCAACGATGAGGAAGACGGGCAACGATGAGGAAGAAGGCAATGCTGAGGGGTAGAGGAATCAGATCTCGTCGCACGACGACTCCTATCTCCGGTAGATCGATCTCATCTCATGACACGTATGTATACACAGGGTATCACAGTGCATGTTGTATGTATACAAAGGGTATCACATGACTGGGTATCACAGTGCATGTTGTATGTATTTTGGGTATCACAACGCATATAGTYTGTATGTATCTCTTAAATTTAGATTATGTATTTGATTTTGTTTTTAAAGTTTGAGTTGGTATCATAGTTGGCATCACAATGCTATCACAGTGATACCACAATGGGCATCACATTGTGCAGCTTTGTGATTACTTGGTAACGACCGGAATAATGTTCACCAGAGAGAAGAGAGATCGGAGGTCGGAGGTAGGAGCGAGGAGTTTTTAAAAATACTTAAAATGCCCTCTAATTATAATTTTAACTTAAATTACCAAAATTACTAATTTACTAATTTATCCGTTGATATGTGTTTGAGATTGGATCTCATAGTTAACACAACTAATCAATTCTTTCTTAAATGAGCCTATATATATATATATATATATTAATTAACGAGACCGACACGAGTCGTATCATATCATATATTTTTATTTTGAAAATTAATTATATATGTTACAACTTCAAATCACATTTATACATCTTTCTCGAATACAAGCATATCTTTATATCAATGTCAAACCTAACCCCTAAACAAAGAAAACCACACAAAATATAAGCAGCCGCCTTCCTTTCAATTCAATAAGTTTGACAAAACGAGCCTATTTATGGAAATAATCATAATAATACATAGTCCAGGTCCCACGTAAAATATCCATCACGTTCTCTCTGTCCATCATTCAACAAAGGAGGATAAGATCATCCATTCAAACTCAAATTTGTTTCCAAATAAAAAACAAAATGGTTGGTTGAAACGACGTCAAAGAAAAATCTGATCCTGGAATTAAGGATTTAAGAAAAAAAATCATAGATGTGTATTAATAAACTGTTTTCTATGATTTAATTCATATAATCAAACCACTATGTGTCCTTTTAGACGTCTTAAGTATTACTAGAAGCGTACTTGTGCAATGCAGCGAGATACATCGTGATTTTAACATTTCATTTTATTTTATATCTCAGTCGATGTTATAATATGCTTTATGTGATTTTGAGAAAGCGATGATGTTTTTATTTTTGAATAAAATATATGTTTTAAGATATCATATAAATTTGACAAAAATATATCGATATTAGTATCAAATTAACTATTTGAAATTCCTCATTTTTTGTGTAATTTTTTAATTCAATTTTTTTGTAATTTTATTTATGTACAAGAACGAAGTAATTTATATTTTGTTTAATAATATAATTTTTTATAAATATAATAATTATTTATTTTGTTGAACTCGATAATTATTCTAATTATATTTTAGATTTTTTATATTTTAAAATGAGATATTCATCTTCTATTTGATTACACTACGAGAAAACTGGGCATTTCCGGCGGAATTTCTGGCGGACATATTCCGCCGGAATTTTTCCGGCGGATTACC